TGAGAGAGAGAGAGAGAGAGAGAGAGAGAGAAACGAGAGGGTAGGGTTGTGTGGGATAAAATGATAAATTAGGTTTTAAAGAGTTAATTATTTAATTAAAAAGATAAAAAACCTGATAAATTAAAAAAAAAAGTTAAAAACCTGATTTTTAAAAAGGAGATACTTAATGCCTGATTTTCCCTAATTTTCCTAGGTCCTAGTTCTTTATTGGGAAAATTAGGACCCAGCCTGTATTTAATAAGTGAAAAATTAGGCCGCCTTCTCACTTATTGATATTTTCTGGCTCTTGAACATATAATTATTGAAAAATATTAAATTTTATTTATTATTTCCTTCCTGCAAATTTCGATGTTTTGTGTCGTTGGTACTAAAATTTACATAAACTTCTTGAATGTAGCTAGTTAGTGAAATTGAAACCATTATAATCCTTCTTATTAATAAATATTTACAAAGGATCATAAACGAGCCTATGTATCTAAGCAATCATTCTAAAGAGCCCAAAATAAGTACGAAATTCAGAAACAAAGACTATTATGTATTAATCACAAAGACTCATAGGCAACTTATGTTATACACTTAAAAGAAGCATGAAGGCTAGAAAGGTGAATAAAACGTGAAAATATAACATATTCAATAGACATAGGGGGTCAAGAAAGACATGCGAAATTGAACATCGTTATCTCAAATAGTCATTTGTCATCTTACTCCTAATTGAGTATTAAATCAGCAAGTTTAGGAAAAGAAAGTCCTAAGTAGGTAAAATAATTTTATCGATCAGTATTTTACCGTCACAGTCTTGATAAACAAGGTAATCAAGGAAAGATATATAAAGATTTAAATTGAAGATAGAAAGTATGTAGCACCTATTTGATAAAGATTATCAACACGATTTTCTCAAAATCAAAGTAAATTAGTTAGAAGATAATAATTTTTATAAGTATAATTATCAATCGCGTGTATCGAAATCAATTTGGTGGCATGTAAAATAGATATGCATTAATTCTCAATTTTTTTTATATACATGTGAATTTTATTTTACATATACATTAATTCTGCTACAATCATTACATTTTAAGTCATGCCTTTTAATATGTGGAATTCACACTTTTAATTTCTTTGTATGTGGAATTCATTTTGAAATTATTCATATAACTTATATATATGTGAATTCGAGTGTTTGGTATCTTTTGCATGTTGGTAAAAGATTTAGCTAATAAAGGATTTAGTCAATTTTGTCAACTCTTATATATGATTTTTTTCCTAATGCATGTTTAGTAATTAATTTTTATATATAAATTCATATCCTATCTGTTTGGTAATTAATTTTTATTTCACATCATGTATGTATAGTAATTAATATTTTTAACCTGATTAAATATTTTTAGATGTTCCTTTATAAACTTTAAATTAATAATCCATCATGTTGTTGTTTCTAAAGTAGCACAACATTTTAATTAATATTTCAGATAAATATTATTTGCTTATGAAAAGTATGAATTATAATTTTCAATGTTTCAAAAAATTGCTCTTGAATTGGCAATAGTAAAATATAACGTGTTCTCGAAATAACACATTATAATTCTTATTAATATTCTAATTAGATTTTACTTGGTCTCGAAGAGTATAATAATATAGAATCTAACATAAATTATATTTTTACTCCTTAACTGTAAATCATTACATAATTTATTACTCTAAATAATAATATGTTATTACTCATAAAGAGCATGATATTATTGTTATTCTGGAATGAAATACGATTTAGACATTTAAATATTCCAAAATGAATATGGCAAAATTATTTGGATTAATTAATACAAATCAATATTCTTGCTATATTGCGTTGCTCTAAAAGAGGTACAATTTTATATTTATTAATATTCTTGAAGAATATTATGTGGTTATTTTTTGGAGAATCACAATTTATACATTTTCAATGTAAATATTGTATTGATCATAGACAATTACAATTGTAATTAAATTGCTTCTAAAGAAGCGATATTTTAATTATATCAATATTCCTGAAGATTATGGTTTGAAAATCCAAAAGAGTCAATATTGTTTGATAGAAGAGATAAACTTACTATTACTAGTAATTTGTTCTCCACTAAATAAAAAAGAAACTTTCAAAATTTCTAATAGTATTTCTTAATTGGTACACTATACTAACTCTAGTGATCATTTTGATAAATACTGTATTGAACTAGAAGTTTAATAACTTTTATATTTTATTGTTTGGCATGTCTATTAGACCATTACTGGATAAACAATGATACAAAATTAAAAATTCAAATAAACATTTTTAACGAAGAACCAAAAGATTCTTCAATCCAAAGAATTCATATATGATTTTTGTTCTTGAAAATTGGTCATTGATTGCCACTAGTTAAAATAGGGACTGACTTCTCTATATTTTTAAAAATTAATTAATGTGATAAATGGAGTCACACCATCCTCCATGTTGACTATCTAAATATTATTTGCATCTAATATATTTGATATAAATACTAGATGATTGCATGATATTCGCAACCGAAGTTTGGAAAATTACTGCTCAAATTATGAGCATAATTTTCAGAATATATAATCAAGACAGTATCTTGTTAATGCTGATGATCGTAAATCTCAACCTTTTAATAAGTGTTATTTGAGATGTCGATAAATTGTTTAACACGCACCCAATTAATTGAGAACAAAGTATTTCTCATTTCTGTTTAAGAAATGCTATTACATATCATGTCATTCTCATAGTTCTCCCTATTATAATTGACTTATGGTCAGAGCTTAATTTTTTCATCGACTTATTTTGTTAGTGCAGTATATGTGAAATTGATTTAACCACAATTTACTGAGATAAAAAGTAAAAAAACGATGAGAATAAATGCGTAGTTTGAACATTTTGTCCCCAACGGGTGATATTTTATATCACATTAAAAAAGATTGTCAATTTGATTTGACAATTCTCTCAACATTAAGGAAATGAACTAAGAAGTTGGAAATAATGTACAAATGCATCGTTATCCTTGCAAAAGATAATCCGTAGCAGAAGTTCGAAACATAATTTATTTATATGTATTTACTGATCAAAGAGAACAACAATATATCACGCAACATTTTAGATGCTCCAACATAAATTCAAGAAATATCCAAAAATCTCAATTCTGACTGATTTTTCAAATCACTCACTTGTAGGTACCAATTTTTTCCTTTGTTTATCGCGGTACCTTAAGAGTGTTGTAAGTAGTAAGTTTATTAGTGAATGACAATTGTACCCTTCCAATCCTAAAAATTATTATTATTATTATTATATCCATAATTCTTTCATATAATTATGGAGTTTTAGTTCTCAGTATAATACACATAAATCTATTGATGTTCTAATTTATATCTAAGAGTTCATTTTTCATTTAGGTTTGAAGTTTCCACTTTCCCTTGAGCCATTATTTTTTGAATATACTGCTAAGATTTAGAACATCATCAGGGCTATTGTCACTCCAACTTCTAACAAATATAGTTGATTCCCAGTAATTTGTTCAAACCAATCATCCTTCGAAAGCAGAACACTTAAAAGACCATTGAACGGCATAGACTACAACAACAAATGTGACAAATTTGAAAAAATCCTTTTAATGGATATTTTGGTTGATCAATTTGTCTTTGATACTTGCTTTCTTAGTATCCGACCTGCTTGACATTTCCAAGCATATTCCAATTATTCAAAATATATTAAAAGGAAAAAATCCTTTTAATGGAGTATGCGTTTGTATTTTGCCATATATTTTCTTAAATTTGCTCTTTTATAAAATTTGAAACTCACTGCACTAAATATTTATTAAAAGGTAATTATTTATATTTAAATGAAGTTAATAAGCCATGTTTGGTGGCTTTTAATTTTTTTAAAAAATTATATTTTGATTAGTACTTTTTTAAAAATGTGTGGCTAAAAAGTATGAATTTTTTTAAATTTACATTTTGAATATTTTATTTTATGAACGTGTGATTGAAAATAAGTATGTTAAGTAAATTACGTCAGAAGGAAAAGGATTCAAATTGGGGCTAAATTGACAAGGCAAATTTTCAAAAATTCAAACGACAAGTCAGTGGCAGTGTCGTAATATTGAAGTAAACATGTGTCAAATTATTAACCAGAAGTTCATGGTCTAAAACCCCAAACTGTACCTTCCGTTCAAACCCCTCATTCTGTGCAATTAAAAGTCAAAACCCTCGCGAAATTTTGTGCGCCGCCATGTCAGTGCTCAGCCGGCTGAGAGCGGCGGCCCAGCCACTTGTATTTCGACTTAGTCTGAAAAAGAGCCAGCGAGCCTACGGGTCGGCGGCTGCAGCTCAGCTGGACTACGATTACTATTACTATAATGATGAAGATGAGGAACCGCAGAGAAAGGAGAACCGGAGGGGAATGCAGGAGGCAGCGCCGCCGGAGGAGGGGTGGGACTCAGTGGGGAGGGGGGCGCAGTGGGTGATCATGGGAGATCCAATGGCCAGGCAACACATGTACGCCGAGAGGCTCTCGAAGATTCTAGACGTCCCTTACATTTCCATGGGTAATCTCGTTCGTCAAGAACTCCACCCTCACTCTTCCCTCTACAAACAGGTATACTTCAATTTTTTTCCCTTTACCGTTGTCCTTTTTAAGAATGGCTTCAAAATCAAAGAAATCAAGAAATGTGTAAAACATTTTTTGGAAGGGCAGTTGAATGCAAAAAACTACTTGAAGATCGAAGAAAATTGAAGGCTTTAGGTCGATTGTTCTCTTGGTTGACTCAGAAGATGAACCTAAGAGCATGTCTGGTTAAGCTTAAAATGTTTATTATAAGTGACTAAATAAGTAAGTTTGAAAATAAGTAATCTTTGAGGTTTCTAATTGCAGAATGTGATTCTAGTTTCTTTATTATATACTTGAAAGCTCAACAGAAGTGCGGAAAAACGGAGTAGAACGTAGAAACATAAGCTTATTGCCTTAAGTCTTGAATTATTTTTTGTTGGCTCGGAATTGGAAGCCAGCAGCTAAATGAAAGTACTATTTGAACTTTAACTGAACCATTTGGGATTAGCCTACCTTATAGAGAAGTTCATCTCGCTCTGATCAAGCCATACTGGCTCACACTGAGGAAAAAAATAAAAAGAAAGAAAGAAACCATTGATTTAAGCTTAAAATGTTAGGCCTCCTTTTTGTGGCACAATCTTTTTTAATCATTATTCAACTAATTATAAAGTATTTCATTGTCTTTTCTTTCTATTTGATCTTGGTACAGATTGATGGAGCAGTGAACCAAGGGAAGTTAGTCCCAGAGGATGCAATTTTTCAGCTATTGTCAAAGAAATTGGAGGAATGTTACTGCAGAGGTGAAACCGGCTTTATCTTGGATGGAATTCCACAAACACAGATTCAAGCTGTTAGTTTTTAGTTCCTATACACATTTTTCCGAATTTATTTCTTCCCTTTTTTTATCTAGTGGAGCTTTATTCTAGAACTTATCGACACATTCCACTTATTTCTTACTTCATAGATGATAGATATTCACAATCTTCATATGAAGAATATCAAATGGTCAAGACTTTAAATGATAGTTGGCTGCCTTGAGTGTGTTCTCAAATGCTTTAAATTGAGTTGAAGTTCATATGCACTCCGTTAAGTTCAATTTCAAGCTCCTGTTTCGTGTTGTAAAAATTTAAGCCTCCGTTTGGCTACCAATTTATAAGTTTTTTCAATTTTGTCCAAGCACATCTGAATTTGACAGTTGTCTGTGCATGTAGCATTGAATGTCCGTTGTTCAAATTTAGAGGGAAAAGAAGTTAAAACTATGTAGTTCTATTAAAAAATTCTGTGAAGAAATTTGATCTATATTGGTTTCATATGATGCAGGTATTTTGAGTATTTTGTTTGTTTATACTCATATTTTTTGGTCTTTACAGGAGATCCTGGATCAAATTGCCGATATAGACTTAGTGCTGAATCTTAAGTGCACAGATGATTGCTTGGTGAAGAAATCACCGGGGAATGGAATCTACACTCCTCGAGAGTACCATTGCATGGCTTGCTCAGGATTCGATCCGAGTTTTCAGCCACAGAATGACCCTCTGAAATCTTCCAATGCTGACACGGATACTGCCTGGAAGGAGAGATTTGGTGTGCATGCAGAGCAGGTAAGTCCGTAACAAGGTTTAAACTTAACATTACCTGTGTCCGATTTAGGAGAAAGTTGATTGAATTTTGAAATGGGTTGGAGAAGCTTTCCTGATTAATTTGTTGTGATTCGATGTTTTACTCTGAACTTTTATATGATTGTGGCAACAATCTTGTGAGGGATTATGCTGGTTCTAGCAAAATGGCTTTCAGATAAACATATTTTAGTTTGGGAGAGGTCTTCTTAGTTTTATCAATGATATGCTGAAGATGCTCATTTTGGATTTCAACATTGCCCCCATTCAGTTAGTAGATTGTCAATCTATCGCATACAAAGTGTTTCATTCACCCGTTCTATCTTTTCACTTTTGTGAGAGAGAGGCTGTTCAATGGACATAATTTTCGGGTAGAAGATGTGCAAAACATATTCTAAATTTCTGTCTATCAATTCCTACTTACGAGTCAATTTTGGTTTATTTCCTTTTCTTTTCAGTTGATTCTGTTTTGAGGAGTCAGAAATTCTTACATTTTGTTTCTTTTTACTATGAACAGTATAGTTTTTTCTCTCAAGTTAACAGTGTAACCCCAACATGCTAATAGTGCACATTTTGTTTTCTTCAGAGGAAACCCTTAGAAGAATATTACAAGAAACAACATAAGCTTATCGACTTCCAAGAGAGTGATGCACCTGGCGACACCTGGCGAGGCCTATTAGCCACGCTTCACCTGCAGGACATGAATGATTTAGGTTCTGCTGTCAAGTCAATGCATAAGTTGACTGCATGATTTTGGCCAATTTATTTTTCAGATTGTTTCATTCCCCATTTCAGCGTGGTAGTAATGTAAGGAATACGAGTACATTAGAGTTGATTGGAGTTTTATAGTAAAATATTGCGGTTTACCCTATGTAACATGAGTGTAACGATGAACATTATAAATAGCTAGATGCTATGGTTTTTGTGCTTTGCTTGTATATACTATTGCTGTCACACCAAAGTATCTATTGACTCCGTCTGCTTCGAATTCATTATCCTAATGCATTTTTTTTTTCTTTTTTGGTAACTCATTTTTTGGTAAGATTTGAGCAGATATGATCTTTTGCCTCCAGTGAATTTCTCTATTGATGTGACAAGAGAATTTTATAGTCATACATTTAGTGAACCATACTTGTAGTTCTCTCGTAAAAATTTTTTATCATGCCCAATGAAAACAGGAGATCAATTCTAAAGATTTGAGTAACTTGTACATGTTTACAGGGACGACCACTAAAAGTTGCTTTTTCCTCTCCGAATGTACCAATATATTTTCGTTTGGCCAAAGATTCTCCGCTACATCTTAGAATGTCGGTATCGAAGGAGATTCAACTTGTTAGATATTACGCAGGTTCAGTGAGCACCTAAACTTAAAAAGTTAGTTACAATAAGTTTACTTTTTAAGTTGGTAAGTAATTTTTTCATCCAATTAAGACAAAAAATTAATAGCAGGCTGGAGTGGCACATAGTTCTTGTTTATAACGACCACAAGGAGCTTCCTCGACATTTAGATGTTGCAGTGGGGGTTTAACCATTTCAATTGAGGCTAGGAATCTGATTTGAGATGCATTGTGGATAACTCTAATCCCTACATCGGAGATTAAAAATAGTTAGAAACGAGCACAAATTCATAGCACTTTACCCTTAACATAAGAGCTCATTCACTCGTCGTGAAGACAAGTATTCAGTATAATTTTAGGCTTTATATAGTCCAACATGTTCAATGCATCAGCTGTATCACTGGGCTTGATTCCAAAGGACATCCTCAAATCATACATTTGCATCAGCTGTATCACTGGACTCTCAAGACCTTGAGGTTAATCCAGGACTGGATCTACAATATTCTGCCTGCCATCCTGGCTACCAAAGGATGTCTCTAACCACCTTATAAAATATAGCAAGCATTTCCAATCACAAATTTGACAAATAACAAGTAATTCAAAGTGGGTTCAAGTGCCTATAAAATTTGGGTCCTACAGAATGTGCATAGTAATAGTATCCTACAAAATGTGTGAATAATAAATGTCTTAGCAAATATTTTGATAAATAATATGTTTTGACTAGCTTAAATTATAATTTAAGCTTTCACAAGCATGTACTAGTAATTTAGGAAACGTTTTTTACATGAATCTTAATTCATGTTTTGATGGAACCAGCAATAAACCAAACAAAGCTTTAATTTGTTGTCATCGTCTAATTTTTGGCTTTAAAAGAAACTTTTTAAAAACTGAAACATACATTGACATTTTAGAAACTTAAAGGTGTGATTAAAAAAGCTCTATGAGAAATTATAATGAAGAAACGTTCACGATTCCTGACTAAAATGGATCAAAAAGAGCATATCCTCAGAGCATAGAGAGCACTGAAATTGCATTAAACTAATTGCTGTATCATACACCATTTCATTTAGGAAAAATCTTTTCAACCATGATCGGCCTACAAGTTACTCGACCAATCCAATTTTGCCATATGCCTCCAATAAACCATCTTGAAGTGTAAATTTCATCATAATAGTACACGAAAAATAATTACAAAGTTTGAAACCATAACTAGAAAATACTGTACAATTTGTGATGGATGATCATGTAAACAGAAGAATATGATGCAGATGACTTGGCCAGAACTTTGAGGAAAAAGAAGGGGCAACTAATGTCATGTTCAGATTTACACCTTTTATTCGTTATTATTATTATTTATTTATTCATTTAAAAAAGTGAGTTCCCAGAGCCAGACCACTTGTTCCCTGTGCTTTACTTCTAGCATATTGTGTGAAAGCAATTAAACCACGAGCAAATCAGTCAGTTAAGGCACTTCTTGCAGACACACAACTGGGTTTCATTCCCCATTTTGCAGATTGCCGCTGTGGAGCAAAACTAGTGATATATATTGGAAGAATAAGTGACCAATAATGTACTATTTTGTTCAATATGAAAAAAGTAAATTTGCACCACTGATGTTTAATACGAGTTTAGATAACGGCACTAGTGGCATTAATTTACAGATTCATTTAGATACAAAGAATTATGGCACATTTAATAGGACCTATGATATGTTAACACCTAGACTAGTGTTCAACACCAAAGGTGTTAGATAGCATTATTCATATGAAAACCACCCAACAAGTAAATTTTCTATAGAAATAGAAGTAGGGAACTATAAAATGAATGTTTTAGGCACAGGTCAAGAAGATGAGAAAATGCACTTCATTTGCAGATTAAGAACCTAGCAGCAATCTTTCTTTTGTTAATTTTCAGGAATCAACATGGAGAGACAGTTGATAATCATGCATACGGTACACAGAATATTATTTCAAACGTAAAGTATTAACTTACCATGATTCGGAACCTTCTCCCTTTGCCTACAAATCAGATATCATGCATGTCAGAGAAAGCTTTTACAATTTCAAGTAAGGTCTACTTGCTACGAAATGTACCTCGGGTTTTCAGTTTCATCGGTAACACAGTCACTAAGCTTTGCCATCCGAGCATCTAGTAGTATATTATTTGTTTTTAATCAGTTGCTATCCCAGGCATCACCATTCAATTATTTATATAAGAAAAAAGAACTATCATTGAAAAGATATATAAGGAACAATTTTCACACATAAATGATAAACCTACGAATAATAGACATATAAATTAACTCAAAAGGCTAGGAAAACAAAAATAAGATTTAACACCCAATTACTCAGTTAAACAAATAAAATAAAATTCAATAAACCATGCAATTCAAAATTGAAAAGAAATTAATTTGGAACCTTTGAACAAAATTGAGGTTCATCAGAACGACAGTACAGCATAGGATGATGCCAAGAAGATACAAACGCTCCAGCATAGCTCTGATTTTGGCTGTCAGCATCTGCGAGAATTGCTCTTGTACCCTTAACAAGTCTGCTCTGGATCCATTCCCATATTCTGCTATCTAATAAATACAGGCGTTTCATGTTTGTGTGTGTGCACAGACAAGTGCCAATTTCAATAAGTGTTTATATAAAATAGGTTTGAATTGATCTGAATATATGACCTAATAAAGAGGTGAAAGCAGAATTATTAACCTCAGCAGATTACCCCGAGCATTCAATAGCCTCCCCAGATACCAGGCGTACAATGTACCTAATGTTATCGTGTGCACAAAGGAATTCCAATGAGCTTCTGTCTATAAGAAAAAAATGACCAGTCTCATTCTCATAAATGATTTGGAAAATAAGACATCTAACACATAATTAATGAAACTGGTAATAATCTGCCCAAACTGCAGTACAATAAAGCAAAAATGATACTAATCAGCTTCTAATAATGCAATACTTGCTATTAAAGAACCGAATATCGGCCAGGTTGCGAATGAAAGACTTGCTATTAAAGAACCGAATATCGGCCAGGTTGCGCTGAACTAGGAAGTGATGAAGCTTGCATTGTGATTTCCTCCAAGGCACGTTTAAGTTCAGCTTTTGCCCTCTTGACAGATTGCTCAGTAGGACCCTCAATGAACAAATACAGCTTCCGTTCCCCAGTTCCTGGAACCCTGCCAGGTGCAAAATACTGCCCTCTTGTTGTGATGGCAGCCCCAGTCCATTCAGAGATGGGACCTAAAGTTTCCTTATGGGTCACCTTCCAACGAGCATTTTGTGGAAAATCATTTATCTCCAATTCTGCCTCATAATGTTCAGGCATAGCATCAGCCTGAATCTTTGCTAAGTTATGCTGCAAATTCATGGCAGCTGCCAGTGCCGCTGCCCTAGCTGCCGCATCGCCGCTGCCAACGGGTAGTCCAGTCCCTGGGACAGCTGTGGCTACACCTGGAATTGTTATACCAAGTACACCAGGCAAGGAAACAGGTAATGAACCATTGGGATTTAGCTGAGCAGCTGAGATTTGTGTCAGAGTTGAGGCCGCACTCACTTTGGAGGCAGCAGCTAAAGCAGCAGCCTGAGCAAGGACAGCTTGGTGAGAAATTTCCCCTCCTGCCTTTCTGATTCCTTCATCTTCATCTTCTGAATCTGATTTATCCTCTTCAAATCCATATTCCTTTGCCTGTGCTTTCTTTGCAGCTCTCCTAACTTCATCCTCCTCTTCATTGAACTTGAAACCACTACCACCATAACCAGTCCCATGTGCTTGCTCAAGCCCCTGGTTCACCTTCGCCATAAAGCCATCAGCCAGAGCTTTCAGGTCAGCGGGAACAACTTGCTCAGATAACTCAAGGGCTTTCAGAAGATCTGGAGCATATCTTGCATCTTCTTCAGATACAAATGTAATAGCACAGCCTTTCCGACCAGCTCGACCGGTCCGTCCAACACGATGAACATAGTCCTCATAATGATTCGGAACATCAAAGTTGATAACTAATTCGAGCTCCTTCACATCTAAACCTCTTGCAGCAACACTTGTTGCAATCAGTAAATTGCACACGTTAGCTTTGAAATCAGATATAGTGGATTCCCGGTCTGTCTGATCCTTTGCTCCGTGAAGGGAAAGGCACGGATATCCATGCTTAAGTAAATCTCTGAATAAAGCATCACATTTCTCCTGTGTGTGGACAAATATCAAAATTTTTCCCTTCTCATACCATTCTCCCAATAATTCTAAGAGTCTGAGGAACCTATCACTTTCTGGTCTTAACTCAACTAATTGGGTTATGTCCTTGTTAACAACACTCCTCCCACCTACCTGCATCTCAACGGGTTTGTCCAACACTTTGCGAGCCAGAATTTCAACTTGACGAGGAAAGGTGGCAGAAAAGAGTACAGTTTGACGA